GAACCAAAGAAGGTAGTTAGGAAAGTTTTATTGAAAATAAGATGAGGAATGGCTCCTCAACTTCTAGGTGAGGTCCCACCAAATGTCCGATGGCTCCTTGAAGCTCTTTGTCAAAGACAATTAATTTTTTAAATTTTGTTTGTATTTTTTTAGGGAAGGGTCTACAAGGTGTTCAGGGTCTCACTACTAGGCGGACTTGTAGTGATCCGTCTGTTTACAGCCTCCCAAGAGCTGGGATTACAGGCACGCACCACCACGCCCAGTCTCAATTGCCGTCTCAGTGTGCCCCAGGGGCGGGGGCTGGCACGGCAGGCCCAGGGATCGAACCCCTGGCCCCTGAGCCTGCTTGCAGGTGGTTTAATTTGCTGAGCTATTTGGCCAGCCTCAAAGACAATTTATACAGCAAAATCACAATGATGGTCAAACTACAAACAACCTACAGCAGCAATGGTGAACCACGGAAGAGTTTTCAATAATAACAGCGGGCTGTGGCACGCATGCTGTAAATTCACTGCGGCTGACATTTAGGGTTACAAGTACAGCCATTTAGTTAATATTGATGCAAAAGGGAAATGAGACGGGTAGCCAGGGTACATGGGAAGAACAAAGGTATTTCTGGAAAAAGGAAGGAAGCAAGTGGGTCGTGGAGTTCCGATCACCCAACTATGTGCTGCATACCTAGCTGGGCTCACTGGTCCAAGGGGTATAACCAGCATAACCTCCAGTTGCTGCTGCTCATCTCGAGGGAGACTTGCAGGTCTGGCTCTCTCTGATTTGCCTCTAGTCGCGATCTTTATGTATCTCATCTTCTGTGCTGACTTCAAGGGCCCAATCCTCCCTGGCTGCAGAATGACTTCCATCTAACTTAACTGTCTACTCTAAGCTACCCAGCCAATACTTCATTTTGAGACAGTATCTTTTTGTTTGTTTTTTTGAGACAGTATCTTGTAAAATAACTAAATTGTGCAGGCTGGGCCTAAGTTGGGGATTCTCCTGCCCCTTGGGTTTTCCCAGGTGTGCACCACGAACAACTTCCGACTTTTATGTATTTGGTACATGGTCTCACTACACAGATCAGACTCGTAGTGATCCTCCAGTTTTAGCCTTCCTAGAGCTGGGATTAGAGGTGTGTGCCACCACGCCCGGTCTTGATGGCCAGCTGAGCAAGTCCAAGGCGGGGACAGCGTGGCACGTGGTGCTGGGGATCAAATCCTGGTCTCTGTGCTTGCCAGACAGGCTCTTTTAGACTGCTGAGCTATCTCCCCGACCTACCAATAACTTTTTTTTTTTTAAATGTATTTAGTACATTTTTAGAAGGGTCTAGAGGATCTCACTACACAGATTGGACTCATAGTGATCCTCCTGCTTCTGGCCTCCCAAGCGCTGGGAGTACAGGTGTGCGCTACCACCCCCACTCTCATTCACAATCTCAGCACACCCCAGGGAGGAGCCAGCATGGCATGTTGGGGATCAAACCCCACCAATAGCTTTTTTTTTTTTCGGAACTGGGGATTGAACTCAGGCCCTTGTGCTTGCCAGGCAAGCACTTATTCTACTGAGCCATCTCCCCAGCCCCACCAATAGCTTTTTATTTAACCTGTCCTTGCAAGGAGACAACCTCAGCTGCTATAAAGCTCAGAAATTACCCAGAAGCTGTGGTGTTAGGAGCACAAGACCTGATCCTTCTCGAGGATCATTTTCTTCTGCTTACCAGCAGCATCTTGGGGGGGGGGGGGAGCCGCCCGTGTGATCCCTTCCTGAGACAAACATCTGTCATTCAGTCCGCGTTAGGAAGTGACGGTGCAGAGGCCTTGGTGAGCTATGTATATGTGTGTGCCGTGTGTGTGCACTTATTTGCATAGCCTCTGAGAGGCCCTAGATTCCCAGCACTGAAAAAAAAGGGAAGGAAAAAAAAAAGCCCTCTGCCCTCAAAGCTACTTCCCCTGAATCAAGGTCTCAGGTTCCCGCACTGCCCCTCCTCCAGTCTCCAGGCAAGCAGCTGTGCCCTGCCCTCCTCAAGGGCTGGGGTGTGGGGGGCTCCTTCTTACTTACTCTGCCCCATTCATGCCAATCCCAGGAGGGCTGAGTTTTGCGATAACGGAAAAGAATTTATTTACTGGGTGAGGCAGCCAAGTGCGCAAATCTTAAATCCATCCCCTGGAGGACAGGGTTTGAGGACACTCAAGGGCTGAGTCTAGAAAAGGGTGCTGGAGATTAGGAAGCAAACTTCTCAGATCTCCCACTCCCCTCTTTGCCTCCTCCTTTTTCCCCTCCATCTCTCCTCTTCACCCCTGCCTTCCTTCCTGCACCACTGTCTAGAGCCGCAAACCAACGGTGGGGGTTGCGAGCGCGCCTACGGGGTGGAGCCAGCAGCAGGACATGCCCACTTCTAGGAGGACGGGGCCTGGCGCAGTGAACAGCTCCTTTCCAAAAGTAATTGGTTCGGGTTGGGGAGATAGCTCAGAGGTTTAAGCGCAGTGGGGAGCACCCCGCCAGAGGATGCGCACCATGGCCTGAGACTCCCGATCTCCCTGCCTTGCCCTTGTGTAGGGAGTGATAAGCAACAGTGGCTGGACAGGGCCAGCTTGGGGCAGGTGCTCAGCGATCCACCCACCAGGAATGCCCCCTCCACGTGTCGCCCCTGCCTGACAGCCCCTCAGGCCCTGGCTGCCTGTGTTTCTCTGGATCTCCCAGGGCTCTTTATTTTATTTTATTTATTTATGTGTGTGTGTGTGTGTGTGTGTGGCCAGCTCAGCCCACCAGGGGGCGGGGCTGGCTGGCATGTGGTGCTGGGGGATTGAACCGTGGTCCCTGTGCTTTAGCTAAGCTTGTTCTAAGTAGTTGCTTTAGACCACTGAGCCATCTCACCAGCCCCTCCCAGGGCTCTTGAAAAGGTCTTTTATTTCATGCGGTCTATTAGAGGCTTCAGTCATCTTTCATTATCACTGATGTGTACTCTGAAGGTTGTAAAAAACGAGCACCTCAAAATGCAAAACAAAACCAGGTACCTGTGATAGCCTGACTCCTGACAGACAAGGAATGGAAAAGTCTTGGGCATCCCGAAGGTTCACATGTGGCTGGTCTACTTCAGACACAGGTTTCTCTTTAGCTAGAAGAAGGATTTCTAATCAGAATTATCTCTAGAATTATCCAATTATATAAATTAAGAATTTGGCAGTGTAAAAGGAGCCAAGGTCACATTGACTCCACATTCTTCCTCTTTCCAATTTGCTTTACAAGATTGCTGCCTTTTTACTCATTCTCTAGTATTAATGTCATTTTTCACTTCAAATATTTGAAAAATTTTATGTTCCATATGTGGGTACAGTTGGAAAGCTAAGAGCTATATAGTAAGATCAGTATACAATGATTTGCTGTGTGAATGACTTGTCTGATTCAGATTCCAGATAACTTATAACAGTATTCTAAGAGCAGAGTCCCTATCTATGCAAATGTATTTGACAATTTGTTATGTAAAAAATTATAAAAATGAGAACTTTTGATGTATTTTTGCCAAGTTCCTTGAACTTGTGCTTTATGTATAATTTTATTACTAAATATTGAGTTTATAAGTGGAGCCGGGCATAGGCATGGTGGTCCACGCCTATAATCCTAGCCCTCAGGAGGCTGAAGCAGGAGGATTGCCATGAGTTTGAGGCCAGCCTGGGCTTCATAGTAGGTTCAAGGCCAGCCTATACTACAGAGCAAGACCCTGTCTCAAAAAATAAATAAATAAATAAACAAACAAACAAATTATAAGTGGAGCTAGTCTCACATGTGCAATAGGCAACAATGTGAGAAGCTGGTGGGGACTATGGTAAACTAGGACAAGTCAGTACTTCCCAAGGGCATCCTAATCAACAGATTAAAAACCACTCTGCCTGCTGGGGAGATAGCTCAGGAGAATAAGTGCCTGCCTGGCAAGCACAGGGTCAATCCCCAGTACCGAAAAAAACCAAACCAAAACAAAACAAAAAAACACTCTGCCTGCCAAACAAGATACTCTGAAATCTCGCTGTTTTGTAGCCTTTGACCTGAATTTTTTTTAAGTCTGAAGTTAATAAAGGAATGGAATTGTAAAATATAAAATGCTTTGTGTTTATTTTGAAGTACTCTATTGATTTAAAATGAAAGTGTCAACATTAAGAAGTAATAAAATATAAAATGTGGTTGTAAATTCTATCTTTACCAAAGTAGTCTAATTTTTTAAACAAAGAACAATTAGAATTTTCTTTTTTTAATTAAAATTATTTTGAAATGGTCATGGTCAGTACAGTTGTGAAGAGGATTTTTACACTCATCTATTTTTTCATAAAACTTTAGGTGAATATCATTTTATCTATAACTATAAAGTCTTTTTTTAATTGCAGATGAAAATGTACTAATTTCTTTTGCTGTATGTTTCGTTTGTTTAATGGATATTACATACACATTCTTTTGTCCTAATTTGTAAAAGTATATGTCAGAGTTCTGGAAATATCCTTAAACAAGAATTTTATTCACTTAAATATTTACAACTTGTGTAAAGCAAAAATGAATGTAACTATAGTGAGCAGTGTAGCTTTGCTCATATTCTTTGATGTTTGCCAAAAGAAGAATAAAACGTGAATGAATTAAAAAAAAAAAAAGAATTATCCAGAGAGTGTGAGTGCCCCAGAGAGGTAGTGAGTTCCTCTTACTAGAGGTGTCCAGGCAGCGGACCTTGGACAGCTTTTATTCTTTCAGCATCTTCAGGGTGCCAAGAGTTGATCTAGACGTTCTGTGCGACAGTGGGAGAGGTAGGACTTGTAACCCCACTCAGCCTTGATGAAACCGATGGGAAGCGCCTTACCTGAGAGGGCTGGGTCCGGGGTAGGGCGGGACTCCCACCGACCCCCCGCCCGGAGGCTTGGGTGGGCGTGGCCCGGGGTGTGGGTGGAGCTGGGCTGGGTGGGGCTTCGGGGTCCCGGCTGCTCCGCCAGCTGCAGAGCGAGCCATCCGCTGGGACCATGGAGCCGGTGTGGACCATGGAGCCGGTGTCGCTGCAGGACTTCGCGCGCCACCTGGACCCTGCCTCCCTGCCGCGCGTCCTGCGGGTCTACTCCGGAGTCTACACGGAGGGTGAGTGGCGCCTGACTCTCGTGCGATCCCGGAATGTGACCTGGAGCCGTCCACTTCCCAGCTTTGGGCGTCCGGGCGTAGCCAGCCCCAGCAGACCTCAACTTCTGAATCCGTGCACTGGGGTCCCCCTCCTCTCTTTTTTGTTTCTTTTCTTTCTTTCTTTTCTTTTTTTCTGTCTCTCCTCTCCGCATCCCCTTCCCACTCCTTCTCCCTACCGTACCTGCCTTGGTGTCTCCCTCCCTCCCTCCCTGGCCCTTTGCTAGGCCAGTTCTTTCTTTTAAATTCATGTATTTGATACAAGGTCTCACTATGCAGCTCGGACATATAGTGAGCCTCCTGTTTTTAGCCCTCCCAGGGCTGGGAGTGTGCCACCACACCTGGTCTTGGTGGGGGCTAGTTTGGCATGTGTTGTGGGGGATCGAACCCTGGTCCCTGCGCTTGCCTAAGCAGGCGCTTAGTCTGCTGAGCTAGCTCCCTGGCCCTGGGCCAGTTGCTTGATGCGGCCAGTACTTCACTGCTCAGCTTTAGCCGCTGTTCCTCCGCGAACTCTTCCCTGCTCTCTGCTCCTTACAACCCCAGCACACTTGCTTCCTGCCCACATCTCATCTGTCAAAGCAGAGATGGTCACACCTCGGGCACTGCGAGCAGGGAGGAAGCGGCAGGGGAGGGAGAGGGGGCCCTAGGAGAGTGGGAGCAGGAGCTGCGCGCGGGGGGGGGGGGGGGGGGGCGGTGGGGGGGGGGGGGTGGGGGTGGGGTTCCGGCCAGCGAACTTCTCACGCCCTGTGTGAATCCTGCCACCCAAGAGAGGAAACTTGCTGTACCACAGCGGCTTCCAGCAAAGTGTTTTCAGGGCCCCAGATGGGTCCAGACCAAGGCCAAGACACTTGGAGGGCCACACAGGGGTCTCCACCTCAGTGTGTCTCTCCAGGTCCCCTTGGGAATTTCAAGGGTCTGGGCTCCGACTCTCTCTCTCTCTCTCTCTCTCTCTCTCTCTCTCTCTCTCTCT